CTCTTTGTTTTGGTAGCCAAAAAAAAATGTTTATCTGTACTGTTCTTGGGTACTGTTCATTCATCTGTTCTTAAAGAAACAAAAAATTGAAACCTATTAGTCATTTTATGCTGCCCAGAGAATATAACTGCTGTTTTTCAATACCTTCATTACATTCCACTCCAACCAAACCCCAAAACTCCAAACATACACCAACAATCCATAACACATACCCCATATGATACCAAAGATATCTGCTACAGCTCAATTAACCCAAGGATACCAACAGCCTACTTTACTACACCCATTGCCCAAGCCTAATACACAAACACCTAACCCAGCCCACTCCCCAAGCAACTAACCCTACATGCCCATCCCCATCTCCATAACACAAACCCAAACCCCACATACCCAGGCCCAAAACCCACCACCATCTTCATCAATTCTTCAAACCCTAATCTGACTGCTTGCCTCCTGTTTCTTCTCGCCAAACGGAAACACTCATCGCTGGCAGCCACTTCATCTGATTTCATCATCGCCACCATCATTATCTTCGATCCTAATCATCAGCCACAACAACCCGACCCACAATACACACCTACAACCCATCATCTTCAATCTCCTCCCACCATCCAGTTCTACAAATCCTACACCAGCCGTCTCTCCTCCATCAACACCACCATTGCCAAATTCAATAATTGCCGCGGCCTACACCCATCAGTCCAACTCCTGATAGCAGCCCGTTAGAAGCACTCCCAGCATTCATCGTCACTTACCAAACACTCACAGCAATCCCAGTACCTTCCACCATCCCCCACTAGACACCGGCATCACCATCCCAAACTCCCCCTTCACAGCATCTTCTTGTCTGCTCTTTCCATCTTTTGATCGTGGAGTAGCAGCTCACATAGGCACTGACAGGTCTAGAAAAAGGAAAAGCAATTGGATAGCAATTCATACAAGACTTGGAATTGGAATCCACTGTGCACTACTATGGGCTCAAATTACGTCTTGTGAGGTATCCTACTTTTGCAGATTGAAAGCTCTACTTTTATTTATGTGTTTGTAGCCTATCAAACTTTACATCGAAAAAAAATTAAAATAACAAAAAAAATTCTTATAACACCAATTACAATTCATATAACTCGCCCACCTATAAGATGTTTTTCCATCATTACCATGATCATGTACATTCCCTTTTTAACTTATAAAAACAATTATTACATGTTTTTCCATCAATACCATGATCATGTACACTCCCTTTTAAACTTATAAAAACAATTATTAGTTGTCTAAGAATTTTGTTGGGGACATATTTTCATTCTAGGCACGACGAGATCCACCTATCAGACTTTGATGGCCCCTCTGGATCCAATTCATTTCTTGATTGACTCTAGTCTATTAAACAATTTTTTGATTTTCACAATTTAAGTGACTCTCGTCGTCTTTATCATGCTAATATGGCACTTGTAGGATCTGCTAGGTGTTATTGGAATTCCTTTTTACATAACATTGATATATCAGGTCAACGTCCTTTCACTTCGTAGAATGAAATGAAACGAATATTAAGTAACAAATACGCTCCTATGTATTATCAATCTCAATTACTAGACCAATTCTTCTTCACCTGTAAGCAAGGTACATCCAATGTCAGGGAATATCTAGCACATTTCGAAACATTATTGCACAGTTGTGATATTTATGAAGCTCCCCACATTACAATGTCTAGGTTTATCAAGGGTTTGAATCCCAAAATCATACGTCATGACATTCCTGCACCACAATCCTTAGATTCATCTTACCATCAAGCCAACCAATGGGATATGTCTTTCCATCTTCGCCAAGCCTATCATAAGCTTGGTTTCACATCCCATTCCAATCACGTCACGAGTCTAATTGTGTTCCTTTTAAGAAAGAAATCGAAGTTTCTATTGTTGAGCAAATTTAGTATTCTAATAGCGAGGATGAGGTATTATCTATAGTGTTGCCACCTCGGTCAAACAACCCACCTATCCTAGATTCCATGCCCAAGTTGATCTTGCCTAATCTTTTGTATGACTAACATTACTTTTGATATGACTCTCTCCAGAGTGTGATTCTTCCTTGGTTGGCACATGCTCTAAGGTTATTGTTAGATCATATGTTTTCCTTATTGATATTCGATTGTTACCTACTAATTATCGTCATAGTACTTTAGCTCTGCACTTTGTTGATCTTCATGCCGAGTTTAGAAATTATATTTTCTTCAGTCATGAAATTTATGAGCTTGCATTTAACATGCTTTTTAGGCACATGTGCTTTCATAATATTTTTATGCCTTGATACGTGTTTCTTTGGCATGATTTCCAAAACATGTAAAGAAAAAAATAGATCAATCATTTGAACTTAAACCTAATTGAGTGACCATCTCACTTCAATGAAGGTTTTGTTTTTAATACATAATTGTTAACCTCTCAGGGAACATTTGAGCCATCGATGTTACTCATTTGTTTCTACAGGCCAGTCCACTAGACTGAATTTTGTAGTGCCTTTTGTAGATGAGTTGCACGTGATGTTGCTTCTTGGAGCGTTAACATATGGATGGCATCGTTATTTGATGACGATAAAAGATCGCCCTCCTTGGTCACAATGTTGCAATCTACCTTGTTGGAGTCGAGTTCTCTCAATCAGGGAGAAATGAAGAATCAGAAAGGATATTATTATAGCTAGTTTTCAATTTTAATCGGTACATGTTTGATTTATTACCTTTCATAATATTTTCTTACTTAGAATAGAGTCTTGGAAACCCTATATAAAGGGGTCCATGCAATGTAATTGCAACAACTTCGAAATAAAATAAAGATTGATATTTTCTCCCAAACTTCTCTTCCGTATCTCTAGTTCTTTTCCCTTTTCTATCTCCCTCATACTTTCCCCTCTTCGTCTTTCCCCTTCCCCTTATCCTACATTTTTCCTCTTGCATCCAACATCACATTAACTAGAAAATACTACTACTTATAATAAGCTAGTGTGTGATGAATCCCTTGTTGTAAGCCTTCTCTCTGCCCTCCCAGTGGAAAATACAAAAGAATGGATGCATAACCCTTGTTTGAGCTCCATTTTAATGGAAAGAATGCATTTTTAAATAGTGATTGATGGAGAATGTGTGGTTAAAAATTAAGGAAAAGTTTTGAACTTGCGTGCAATATTATTTCATTAAAAAATGTGGTTGAAAATGAGTTTTGAAAAAATGAATTTTGAGAAGAATGGGGCTCAAACAAGGGCATAAACTTTCATATGTATTGATTTCACGGATCAGCAAAAGACAATTGCACTAGCATTTTAGGAAAAATAATATCAGAGAAGTTTCTGCGATAACAGAAAAGTAGTTTCTCCAGTCCAGCAACAAATTTAAATGAAGAAGAGTGTCAAAAAAGGCTCAGTTCAAAAAAATTGACCAAGTAATGTTAGCCTTATCAAAAACTGAATTCGGGAAAAAGTTCAGTGTCTCCTGAAAGAATAAGGAAGAAAGGAAGAACTAGAACAGCAGCAAATTAAGCCAATGTTTGGCAAATTAACGATCAAACCACTTTTCAAATACTTTGTGGAATCCACAGTACTACCCACTTATCAACGATTCGCTTCTATATCCATTTGTAATTTAACAACCAAATGTTTTTAAGCCTAGTTCCCAACAAATTTGGGAATAATAACTGCAGATTATCCAAATCCCTATCCCCCAAGAACAATCCTTCAATCAACAGCCAAAAGCAAGATTGGTAGATGTATATGTATACCTTGGAGGAGAGCGGCTGTAACTTCTACTACGGCTTCGCTGCCGATATCGGCTAACTCGGCTTGTTTCAGCTAGTTTTTCAAGCCTCTGTCGCTCTTGCTCTCGTTTCTTAGCCATTTCAATAGCTGTATCTTTTTTTACTGCAAAAAAAAAGTGGCATGCCACAATGAACATGATAATCATGCAGCCACAAAACATAATCAAAGAAGAGAGAAAAAAATGCCAATCCTCATCAATTCTACATTTTAGCATAAAAATCAGGCTAACATACTCTGTTTGTTCAATTGTTTGCTCATGATCCGTTTAAGTCGCTCTTGAGGTGTTTCCTTCTTCTCCCCCAGTTGCTTAGATAGGCTCCCACTACTTGTGGTTTTGCTCAACTTTGCGAGTGCTGAGGATGTGCTGCCAAGGGAATCAATAAAAACAATGATAAGTTAACGACGAAGAGAATCATCTAAAAAATACATGTTGACTAATGGAAAAGGAAACACCATGAGATACCTCATTGGTGGCTTCAACAGTTTGGCATTCTTTTCTCTGTCAAGGGATACACCAGAGGCGGGGTCTGCATGAAGAGCTTCGAGTATGCGACCAGACGATGGCCTGCACGAAAGCATATGCATTAGAGAAATACTTTACAATACTTCCTGGGACTCAGATGCAGTCATATGAAGTCCAGCTCTGGGAATAATGAGCTTCAAAAAGGAAGCTTCCTTCCCTCTCCCACTTGGCAGTTAAGCTGTTTACCCTAGCATGATATATTCTAAACAACAAAAGTTTGGCTCAGGTAACATAATGGACGGTTAGCTGCAGCAGAGTAAATACTTCCAATCTATCTTTGCAATTATTAAAAGGTCGAGTGCTCCGACCGATTCAATGCATCAGCACGGGACGAAGGAGATGGTGGTGGAGAATATCCTTCAAGCTTTGGCTCATCCCCATCATCAAAGCCCCCAAATTCTGTAATATATTCTATTTTTGGAGCCCTATCTTTCCCTCGATTAAGATCATCAGTGCGTGATCCATGTGCATGGCGCCTTGACTGTGATGGAGAGTAGGACCGAGACTTCGACCTCAATCTGCTAATAGAAAAGACAGTTAATATTTTCCCACCAGGTTTTACATTTAAGCAGTAAAAGAGACGAGAATATCCACCTTCTAGATTGTGAATAAGCTTCATAAGTAGGGCTGTGCCTTGATTCACTGCAAAATCATCAGAGGCAACAAAGATGTTAGGACCACATATTACTGGCTATTGACTCCCATTTTATATCCTATGTGCACATGACTTTGTAACATTGCAAATGCATCAAGGAAACACGACATTTACCGATATGGATCGTGACGAAGCACTCTAGTTCCAGTTATTCTTGCAGCTTCTCTTTCCTTCTCTCTTTCCATCTGAGAAACCTTCCTTCTTTCCTTGCGACTCAGTTTTCTCTAAAAAATCCGCAATAATTCAAAATATGGTGAGGCGGTATCACTCTCAGTAGAACCATAATTCCAAGTTTCCAACCCAATTTTTTGGCAAACTTACAATTGAAGGATCTCCCTTGATGACTTCTTTCTGCCTCCTTTCCTCTTCTTTAGCCCTTTTATCCATGTATACAAGCCATCCATACCTCTTTACTCCGAATTCTTTTGCAATTGACTCCATCAATTCATCATTGCTGTCATCACTGTTAAAATCCTCCTCGTAATCGTCGTCCTCGTCATCATCTTCATCGCCATCTAAATCTTGAGCTTCCTCCTTTTCATCTCCATCATAAGAGAAACCAACTTGCGAGTAAGGCCCCTTGCTCGCTGGCGTCTGATCCGCATGAGATTTACTGTGGTTGTCATTATGTCCCATATAATAGGTAAAGAGATCAAACAAATAATATAAACAGAGAGCTTAATATAAGCTATAGCATCATGGTACATGAAAGAAATTTCTGTATTGAAAAACAAAGAGCAACCATAAAAAGACACGTAAGTATGTGTTCTCAGAGTTCACATGTGTTCATTGGGAAATTGCAATGCATATTTAAATGCCAAATAATAAGCAAAGTCAAAATTTAAACGTAAAGAGAATTTTCACATTGACTGCTGTTTGCTTTGTACTGAATAAAACACAGAAGGAAAAAAAAAAAAAAAGGGTCTGAACCTGTCTGATCCAAAATACGCACTGATCTTAGCCTCCATCTCTTGGTTAACATGTTGCAGTCCCTCCTTGTCAGTAACTGCCAAAGGGTATTGTTAGTTCTCAAAGAAAAAGTATCAGAAACTTACCATTAATAAAAAAGGAAGGATCATTATCTTCATTCACTAACAGAAAACCCAAAAAAAGGAAAAAATACAAAAAGTTGTTGTAAATCAAACAGATTATGACAAATAAAAAAAAGTACCGACATCCTCTACGTCGATGCTTAATTAAATCCCGGTAACGCTCAAAACTAACAAACTCTTCTAACTCCTCTTCTTCCTCAGTTATTTCTGAGACCCGATGACGGCGTGTACTACCATCACGAATAAAATCAAGAAGAGCACGACCATCAAATCTGGTAGAAGTATAGTTAATCAGTAACAGCAGGATAATTCCCCGACATCTAACTCCTAATCCCAATCACAAAAAATATGTTTTGAACGATGCCTTTCATAAAGGCAGATAACTGAAATTGTATTACCTGTCAATCATAATATCCTGTTTCCCATTCCAGGGTATCCTGACCAGGAGGCAAAAATGTTAGGTCACATTTATCAGTGGAATGCACATATAAAATTAGTGAATCCATGTGGAATATATAATAACTTCGCCATAACATTGCAAATACGAGGGAAGGAACAGACGAGACTGGAACTTATTCCATCTAACATCTAGCGAGAATGGATAGGAAGAGTATATGTGTTATACTAAATGTCCTTATAGTGAAAAGATAGAATGATGTTACTTCGTGCAATTTTTTCAATGTTGCATGATTATAATTAAGTGATACAGATGCAAACTTGAGTACCATTGGATGTTTAAAAACCCATCATCTCAGTTTCTAGTCAACGACTCAACTGAAAATTAACAACCTGCTTGAGCTCCAAACTACCAATCACAATAAAATCTTCCATTTCCAATAGTAAGTCTAGACAACTCACCAGTTAATAGAAGTTATAACCCAAAAAAAAAAAAGAGCACTATTTTCCAAGTACCCAAAACCAATTTAGACATGAAATTTTACCTATTTACATAAGCATTAATTAAGAGTGTGAATTTCGCAGAAAGAAGTCATAACTATAGTATAATGCCCACTAAGAGAAACATATCCACAGGACCACAGAACGACTCTGTATCGAAAGGACAAAACAAGAAGGCTAAATTGTTATAATATGAAGTATAAAGTACATATCCAATAGGAGCTACAATCCTTAACAAGGCAACTATAATCGGGACAGTAAGTGTCCAAATACTGTTTGAAGCACTTAATTATCCATAGAATAAATCAAAAACGGGATTACCTTCATATCGGTACTAAAGACTCCTATTACATATTAAATCCATTTTCATTTTCACCTTTTCCTATATATAAATTCTCAAAGAAAAAAAAATACCCCTCCTACTTAATAAGAAAAAATCAGCATAGGATGATTAAATAATCTTTAAATAAATAAGGAAAATTTGATAAAATAAAACTCGTCATACAAGCCCTGCTGGTCTTCGGTAGCCTGGTAGAGAGCATCGTCACGGTGGATGCGGCAGCGAGTTCCGACGGCTTGGATAGATTGGCTTGGGTCGCCGCGCCGCTTGGCCAGGTATATAGCTCTGCGCTGCGCTCTCTTCCGAGCAGCGTCCATCATTTCATGCACTTTCTTCTCCGACCTCCTCGCCTCGTGCCACATCTTTGATCGATCGAAAATCGATTTCTGGATTTCGAACAATAAGTCCGATTCTTAGGAGTTTAATGGACTGGATTCCCTAACCCTAGGTCTAATTGCGTTATTCTTCCTGTTCTCTGTGAACGAGGTAATTGATAGTCGTACTCTATTACCTTAAGTTAGTTGGGATTTCATGCACTTTCTTCTCCGACCTCCTCGCCTCGTGCCACATCTTTGATCGATCGAAAATCGATTTCTGGATTTCGAACAATATTTCCGATTCTTAGGAGTTTAATGGACTGGATTCCCTAACCCTAGGTCTAATTGCGTTATTCTTCCTGTTCTCTGTGAACGAGGTAATTGATAGTCGTACTCTATTATCTTAAGTTAGTTGGGAGGCTGCTTTTTAAGTGGTTTTTGTTTAAAAGGCTTTTCATCATAATTTTGAAAATAACATAAAATATAAATACGTAAATATTTAAAAAGATAATTATAACCTTTCATTATTTCTCTTCAAACGAAAGAAGAAAGAATCCAATACTTCCTAAATTAGAGGTCTGTCTTTTTCCACTCCTGAGGCTCGTCGTCGATCACTCTCTATCTCCGTTCTCGAAAATTTGAAACTCGCTGGACCACCTTCAGGTAATGTGTATCGAGCAGCTGAATTTGTATTTTGTTTGTTTCTCCACCTCCAATTTTGTAGTAGAAGTTTGTTTCCCCACCCCCTTCTCAGATTTAGGCAGCCAAAACTTCTGTATTAAATATGGAAGGGGTCTTTACGGTACATGTAGCCAAATCTTTTGAGCGATTAATCTACATTACGATAGTTTTATGGCACAAAATTGACAATATTTGGCCTCAGGTGTGCTTGTAAAGGTTATGTTCTGATTTCCTCTTTTGTAAGAGAGAAAAATCATAATATTTTCTGAAAAGAAAAAAATGATGGTTCTATTTCCCACTGTTTTAATGTTTCTTTTCATCTACGTTATTATGATTCACCTAGACACCTGGCAATAAATACTTTGTAATTTATATACTGATTGGATTAAAAGTCTCACATATTTGATTTCCTATTAGTAGATTTGATTCTGCATTTGTTTGCTACATACTAGTGGTATAGTTTCTTGAAAATTTTAATGGTGGTGATGGCTACATATATGCGATTTGCAAGGCTAAAGCTAACCGTTTCTTTCTTGCAATGAAATGTTTGAGCTTCTCAATTTCAATTTTGTCTTGATAGTTTAAAGTTTGATTTGTTTCCAGCCTT